GTCTCAGATGTAGTTTTTCCTCAGGTTGTTCCAAACAGAGAGCAGCACTTGAGTATGAGTCCATTGTTATCACTGTGAGGGGCTGGAGGGATTGACTGGATGGAGAGTGATGAGGAAGACCAAAGGATCTGTTATAACATGTGCTTCTAGCTGGTCGACATTATCAGGACCCTGTCAAATTAAAAATGCCTTTCCAGGACCTGACAATGGAGAATACTGGTGTGAAACTGGAAGGAAGAAAAGCAACACTGTCAACATCACTGTCACTGGTATCCAAGTTGTAAAACACTAACTAAAAAATAATCCTCTGAAGTTAGTCTAATTTCTTGTGAAAAGTCTGTGAACATTTCAGTTCAAAGATCAATATATTTATTTGTCCAGTATATTAAAAATAGTCCTATGCAATATCATTAAGTATCACTGACATCAGGTTTGGAAGTAAATAGTACCGTAAATACTGTTGTAAAAAAGTTGTGTTGGCAGAGCTGAGCATGACCTGAGGTGCTCAATAAGACTTTACTTGTTAAATTGTTGGTGGGCTTTGTTCCCCATATAGCAGAGCTTTTCAAACTATGAGCCGTGCCTCTCCAGGGGGAGTTCAGCATGAACCAAATCGAATTAAGACAAAGAATAACCAAATTTCATCAATAACAATTCTGTTCATGTTTTCCTCTATCAATATTTTTTTGAAGTATAAGTTGTAGAATAAACGGGGGTGCTGCGTTTACCTAATTAATTTTTGTTGAAGAAATCTTTATTTGCAAATGGTGCTGAAAAGGACGGATAAAAATAAATACAATGATTTGCATACACATGAAGCTAACCTACTTTCTATTGCTGAAAGAAAGATTTACATGTTTATATTTACAACATAAAACAATTCTTTCTTTCTTCTTTTTAATGCAATTAATTTTTGTGAAATATGTTTTTCAGCTGGTTCAGTGATCCTGGAGAGTCCAGTCCTTCCTGTGACGGAGGGAGACAATGTGACTTTGTGCTGCAGAACGAAGCAGACGTCCTCCAACCTCAACGCTGAATTCTGTAAAGACGGCCACTTCATGGAGAGCAGCTCTACAGGAAACATGACCATCCACAGTGTTTCCAGGTCTAATGAAGGACTCTACAAGTGCAGCATCTCTGGAGCAGGAGAATCAGCAGAGAGCTGGCTGACGGTCAGAGGTGAGACACAGCAGTGTTTCAACAGTATTTGCTCTATTCTTTTCCAGTTTTTTTCTGATAATGCCCTTATCTTTGTGAAGTTCCAGGTTTTAAAACTCAAAAGAAGTATTACAAATGCCAACAGATTACACATGTAACTAACTGTGCCCTGTTCAGCAGTTACAAAAATGTGGAAGCTTAAACTGATGTTTGAGGCTGTGGGCACAGAGGGAGTTGTATTTTGTACGGATTGCTGGTTTGTGATGTTGGGCTGAAAACAAAATGACTTGACTTAAAGTAGCACTGCCGTTATCTCTCCAGCAACTCCTCAGCCTCCCCCTGCTGCCTCTCAGCTCTCTCTGCTGATCTGTGTTGGTGTCAGTTTTTTCCTGATGGCTCTGCTGCCTTTGGTGGGATTACTGCTTTGTAGAAGTCATCAAACAGTCATCACAGGTACAGAGAATAAACATGAAACAACTTACATTACTGGCACAACGCTTGCTAGAAGTGGGCTCTTAATGGTAGAATGTGACGACTGTGACAAAACACAATCAAGTTCGGCTTAAGGTAGAAAAAGAAATGCCAATGAGCTCCAGTTCTGGTGGTTCCTGCTGATCGTTACTATATGAAACCTTTCTCTCTGAGTGAGCCCCTTCTCTGCATTGTTTAAATTTTACACAGTCGGAGCGTTTTAGTGTGTCTCATCTGCCACAAAACTCTGTATTTGACTCCTCTTCATTTGTTATTGCAGCAGAGTGCAAGATTTAATTTCCAAAATTATTATAAAAAGCCCACTTGCCCAGTCAGATTGTTAATACTATGAGGACAGATAGAGCAAGCTTTTCCTTTAAGACCAAAATATTTTTTAAACAGTTTCTCAAACAAATCCACAATGATTACATCAACTGTGAATACATGTCCATTGTAGCAATAGGTATCCAGTTGGAGTCCAGTATGTGCCATGGTGCTTCTGCTTTTAATTAGTTTCAGTTTTGTGCATGGATACGGGAAGTGTGGGTAGAGAAAAACCAGGAATTATAAAAAAAACATAAAATGAGAGTTTGTCCGATCTTTAAGTTAAGTGAAGTTTATGACATTTACCAATATGCTTCGATGGTGATGATGAACGGCACGCATACCAGTAATGAATTAGTGATGAATCACCCTCATGCAGGAATCAAGGCTGTTTTCACATACAGGATGTGGGTGTTCCAGCTAGCTGTCTGCTGAGGTGTAAAACATTCTCATGCTGGTGTTTATAACTTTTAGATGCAAGTTATCCTGGCCATTCAAATAAATACAAAAAAAGTACATTGCAGGGCCACACATAGATGAACAACCACGCTCACACTCACACCTAAGGACAATTTAGGGTAACCAATTAACCTAGCCTGCATGTCTTTGGATGGTGAGAGGAAGCCGGAGCACCCGGAGAGAACCCACGACCTTCTTGCTGTGAGGCGACAGTGCTAATCACCGTGCTGCCCGGATTTCAAAGCATACATTAGGAAAATCTATTGCATTTGTTCATCTTTTTTTCAGCTGTGGCCCACAAAACTACAACTTTTGTAAAGCAGAAACATACATCATTCCGAAACCATGTTTATAAATAGTTTCCAAATAATATAAAAAACACTGACATGTTAAGAGATTCTGAGGTCCTGAGAAACAGAAACAAGTGTATTAAAATAATACACATATTTTTATAGTAATATTTATATGAATAGACTTATAGAATTTATTTAAATAATTGAATTTACTTTGAAAGCAACTTAATTTATGTAGTGCCAGTTTGTATTTTTGTAAATATTTTTTGTCTTTCTGTGTATCTACCTGATACTTGTGTGTAAGATGTATTTTTATTATGTTTCAGTGGCAACATATGCTGTTATCACAGAACCCAGGAAGGAGAAAGGGAATGAACTTGACCTTCTTTCAGGTGAGTGAGTGTGAACAAACATTTACAGAATATTTCTGAAAGTATACCCATGTTTAAATTGTATCAGACTGTGTCTGTTTCCGGAGCTTTAGGCCTTTCTTCATTAGCATCTCAGACAAAAACCACAAGAAACAAGACAGAGAAGCCCACAGACAGAAAAAGATAGATGGAGCCCTGAGCTCACTGTGTAGCAGCTTAGTCCACCATGATACCACAAGACAGTTCTCATGTTAAATTTATTATTAGCAGGACATCAAGTACTTTAAGCAACCTTGCATTCTCATATGTTGTGTGGGAAAGTGATCAGGTGGTCTGTGTTTTATTAATTCACATTGAGGTCAGGCTGCTAATCAGAGGACTCAAGTACTGTTATAAATGTTGTCCTTTATTTTCTCACAGATACATTCAATGTCTATTTTTGGGTGTCTTGCAGGTCACTGAGAGCAGAGACGCCTCACTGAAGAAGGGAGGACATATTAGGGTCTTTTTTAAAAACCCAAAGGTTTTTAAATTGCAGCATTTGTATGGGTGGTTTTGTGTGTTCATGTCAAAACACAATGACATGCTTCTGTGGTTGCAAGAAATATATAAACAGGTTATGTACATTTGTAAAAAGGGGACGTGTTCAATTTCTTTTTTTTTTAAACTGCACACATCGGAGACTGTAGATGTGTATGTATAGGCCTATACAAAAATGTACACGGAGACCAATTAATAATCATTTTTTTAAAGTAAATAAACATTACACAATTAAAACAATCACCATAAACCATGTAAAATGCCTAATTGTTACTTTTTATCACTTTTCTGAATGACAGTTTCATCTATCACAGCTACTGATTGATATTTTATTCCCACTAGTTCACACAGTTATTCTCTAAAATAGGGTACAAAGAAAACAATTATCTGTGAATGTATTAATATTTTTCTACAGTACAACCATTCACCCACCTCCAGCTTTAATCCATCATCCACAGAAACCTTCAATTCACCTGATATTAAAAACAGCAGATGGGGACATCCTTAGCAGATCCCACAATGCATATGGTTGATTATGCATCATTATTTGGGAAATGCATCAAGTGGGTGTGGGGGAGTGGCAACAGAGGATGAACCCAAATGCAAGCAGAGTGAGCAGGATGACTCAAGTGGTTTAAAGACCAAAACAGCCAGGTCACAGAAGACAGGAACATAGCAGCCAGTTCACGGTGGGGAAGGCTAAGTGAGGCGAATGAGGTGATTGCAAGGCAGATGGGAGTGGAAGGATCTGTAATTACTGAAGAGAAGTCTGTAGGCACCTGGTAGAGAGAGAGAGAGCAAAAGAATAATGCTGAAAGGGCCTGGGGGAGTGGATGAAGAGAGGGACAGAGAGGCGGTGGTTATCAGCACTTAACACAGAAAAAAAAGGAATCTAATTTACAACATTTTGCCTTCCATAGTCAAGTTAAGTCAAACATAATCAAACAGGAGATATGTTGAATATCTAATACACAACTAAGCAAGGAGAACAAGGCATTGTACAGAAAGAAATGTCGTAATACTTCTCCAGGAGAGAATGTTAAAAAGGTGAAATGGTCAAATAAGACTCATCTGTAATGAACATGTCGTTTTGGCTTATTTAAGGTAAGATAACATTCAGAGCCCAACACGGTTGTCATCCTCCTTGTTTCTCTATAAAACTCTGTAAGTATTTGGTTCTGTCCACAAAGCCATTGAGAGGCTGTTAAACTTTTGTGTCTGAGAAGCTCAAACGATCAGCTGCATCTGTAGAATCTAAGTAAAACCGAGACATGACGCACACTGACGAAGCAGGCCTTCTGAAAATAGACCTTGTGTCTGTCCATCAGCTCTATGATACTTTGTGTCCCTCACTGTTTCCTTAATTTCAGTAGGCCATTAGTTGTTTTTGTGTAACTCTGAGTTTCCCACAGTGAAGCAGTCCCACCACCAGCAGCAGCAGAGGCACCATCACAATGGTGAAAACAGTCCTCAGGAGGAGGAGAAGAAGAAAGAACTGGTGTGGACAGGGACAAGTCTCTCCGTGAAGAGCTGCAAAGTCAACAGAAATGATATAACATGGTTCCAACAGTATCCAAGCTGTTAATTTTTAATAGTAAATTGAACTTGTACTTACCAAAAACAAAACAATCAATGACACTGACCACGTGAACACCATGTTTAAGTCTTGTGCTGCAGTGAAACTATCACTAGATGTAAATTTAAGAGGTAGTTTTGGAACTGGTGGTTGATAGAAGAAATGTAAATGTTTTTGCTGTGTTATATAACTATATAACACAGCAAAAACAATAATCATAATAATAAAGGTTAATAAACTCAACACTGTCAATGATTCAACAATTATCATTAAAGTTACCTGGCTAGAACTGCAACTTAATTACATTCAGGTGAAAAGACTTCTTATTTTAAATGGACTTTAAGCCAAACATCACACACAGGGCTTTCATTTTGGAACAGGTTTGGGTCTCACCTCTGACAGTCAGCCAGCTCTCTGCTGATTCTCCAGCTCCAGAGATGGTGCACTTGTAGAGTCCTTCATCAGACCTGGTAACACTGTGGATGGTCATCTCTCCTGTGGAACTGGTCCTGATGTGGAGCCCATCTTTATAGAAGTCTGCAGTGATATTTGTGGATGTCTTTTTGTTTCTGCAACTCAGAGTCACAGCTTCTCCCTCCATCACTGGAAGGACGGGACTCTCCAGGATCACAGAACCAGCTGATCCAAACGATCCAGAAGTGCAAAAAACAGTATACTTATATTAATAAATATAGAATGTATTCAAAGAGCTGCAGTCTGTTTGGAACGATACGAAAAGCCGCTTCTGAGACAGAGAAACAGAGATTAACATATATGAACAAGGTGCATAATAAAGAAAAACTCCAGGATAATCTGATGTTAAAATAATACCTTGCTTACACAGTTAAAAGTAACACAGTAATCCATTAGTGTCTACACTAACAGAATACCTCAAACATTTGTTTGGGTCTCACCTCTGACAGCCAGCCAGCTTTCTGCTGACTCTCCAACATCAGTGATGTTGCACTTGTAGAGTCCTTCGTGAGATTTGTAGACATAGTCGATGGTCATGTGTCCTGTAGAGCTGCTCCCAATGAAGAGGCCGTCTTTGTAGAAGCCTGCAGTGATATTTGTGGATGTCTTTTTGTTTCTGCAACTCAGAGTCACAGCTTCTCCCTCCATCACTGGAAGGACGGGACTCTCCAGGATCACAGAACCAGCTGATCCAAATGATCCAGAAGTGCAAAAAACAGTATACTTATATTAATAAATATAGAATGAGGGGCACAAGATAACATTTTTCTCACTGATATATTTAGAAATCATTGTACCAGTGACAGTGATGTTGACAGTGATGCTTCTCTTTCCTCCTTCACCTTCACACCAGTATTCTCCACTGTCTGATTCAAAGGCATGATCAATGGTGCAGCTCACAGTTGTTGTCACTGTGCCATTTGAACATTTTTTTATGAATCCCTTGATGTTCCTCACTTTCCATCCAGATGAGACATTAAACCCCTCACAGGTAAACTGGGCAGACTCGTATTCAAAGAGCTGCAGTCTGTTTGGAACGATACGAAAAGCCGCTTCTGAGACAGAGAAACAGAGATTAACATAAATGAACAAGGTGCATAATAAAGAAAAACTCCAGGATAATCTGATGTTAAAATAATACCTTGCTTACACAGTTAAAAGTAACACAGTAATCCATTAGTGTCTACACTAACAGAATACCTCAAACATTTGTTTGGGTCTCACCTCTGACAGTCAGCCAGCTTCCTGCTGACTCTCCAGCTCCAGAGATGCTGCACTTGTAGAGTCCTTCGTGAGATTTGTAGACATAGTCGATGGTCATGTTTCCTGTAGAGCTGCTCCCAATGAAGAGGCCGTCTTTGTAGAAGACAGCTGGGAGGTAGGTGAACGACACCTTGTTTCTGCAGTGCAGAATCACAGCTTCTCCCTCCATCACAGGAAGAACAGGAGTCTCCAGGATCACAGAACCTGCTGAACAACACCATAAAAATATCTTATGTTAGATACTTACACATATTCAGTGGTTATTTTTTATATCTGTTTATGCATTGAATGTTTCAGTCTACCACAACTAATTGCTCAATGAATCATTACGGGGTCAAAAAAACCAAAAAAAAAAAACAACCCAAATCTATTGAATTTCTTCTAACTAGCAAGTCAGTCTGACCCTAAGAAAGTCATTTCGGAAGATGAAACGGGTGGCAATAATAGCACTGTATACTGGCGTATGATTACAGTAAACTAAGCCCCCCACAGCTAAGCAAGTGGCCGTTTTTGCTGTGAAATGAGTCTGCGAAATTAGCTGGTGGGTGTGCAGTTACAGTGTTGTCCAATGTACTGTAACGGAGTGGAGGAGATCGATAGACAGAACATGACACTTAGTTTGTTTTTTAGCCTGTTTGCTTTCTCTGTTGTAAATTGAACTTTCAGCCATAATTATTTTTGCCCGCCATTGTAGAAACCCACAGACAGAGGGGACAAGACAGCGAAGTGAAGGGACAGTCAGCAAGAGACAGCTGTTTCTACATGTCTCCCCCTGCTGATTTTGAGTGATTATTGTGAATGCTCTTTGTTTGTGATAACAGATTTTGTCATGGCTTGGGGTCTTCGGGTATTATTTGGGAGGTTGTTGGGTCCATGTCTTGTGTTTCCTCTGTTCTGTCATGTTCATTGGCATGTTCAGCTTTGTTTACTTTTACCAGTTTTGTCTCATGACCTGTCTCAGTTCAGTGTCTTAGTGTGTAGTCGTCTGTGTAGTCGTTCTTAGATCTGTTTACTAGTTACTTTACTATTTAGATTTGACATGTTTTCTGTGGTTGGTTTTATTATATATATACAAATGACATTATATCCATGTCATTTGCTTCTTTATTTTGATCGGTAGGTTCAGTGTCTGTACCATGTCATACATTTGCCTGAGTGCTACATCTATTCCGCCCATGTTTCTGTTTCCTGTCTTAGTCTGAAGTTTTCTGCCTTTGCTGTCATTGTCTGGTTTTGCTTTTTCTTTTTCTTTACCTTGGTTACCTCACACCTGTGGCCTGCACCACAAAGCGAGTTCAACATACCCAGGACATCTTTTAGTTACCTGGCTGAACTCACCCTAACAATCACCATCGGGATAAGTGGTAGCCTACCACGAAGCTGGTTATCAACTATAAATATGCTATACCTTCGTTGAGCTTTTAAAAATGATGCTACAAGGCTTCCCCCAGTGCGTAGAAACATGACGCTAAGGGGCTCCCCAGTGTGTTACAAACTGATGCCAAGGGTTTTTGATCATGCGTCCATATGTGACGACGTGGGAGTGAGAGCGGGTTGTGTATTGCTCACCATTTACGTACGCAGAACAAGCTTAAACAACACAGCCATCAGTGTACAGTAAGTTTACATACACAAAACATCAACATGAGGGGATCATAGTGGCCTATAAATTATAAAAAATGTTCATAAAAATAAAATGAAAATACCTTCTTCATTTTGTTCCATGAAACTGTTATGTATCACAGCCAGCCAGTTCTCTGGTGACTCTCCAGCTCCAGAGATGTAACACTTGTAGAGTCCTTCATCAGATTTGGAAACATTGTGGATGGTCATCTTTCCAGAATAGGTGGTCCAGATTTGGAAGCCATTTTTATAGAAATCAGCTGTGTGGTTTAAAAGAGCCGCCTTCTTTCTACAGTGCAGAGTTACAGTTTCTCCCTCTTTTACAGGAAGGAAGGGACTCTCTAGGATCACAAAACCAGCTGGAATATACACAGTACATTTTTAATTACTTGTTTACTTTGTGTACACATGCCATAGACAATACATTTATTTTACTATTGTATTGGATTTGTGTAACTAAAATGCTTCTTGGCTTGATGCACATAACACCAGCATCTTTTGAGTCAGTAATAAGTGATATTTGAGTGATAAGTGACATTTATTAAAATAAAATAACAGAAATAGAAAACAATATATGTTGAATGGCAAAGATTATAGGCAGCTACAGTCAAATTAATTTTCTAAAGCTAAAATGCTAGTTTGCTAGGAACATGCTAATACTGACATCCACAATACCCACTAATCTAGCCAGCAATCTCAGTCGCTAAGCAAAAAGTTGAGACGTTATGCAAGCAGCATATTTTTACCTTTGACCACTGTCTCATGACTGTCTGTAAATAATGCCTCTGTTGTGAAGCCGTTGATACTGCAGCAGAGCAGGGTTGATATTTTTTTAACTGGATGATGGCGCACAACTAATATGATAGCTCACCCTTCTTTGGAATACCTAGATCTCTGTTGGCCCTGTCAAGATACTTTGCTGTTAGTCAAAGGTGACAATTTGAGTGTGTTTTATTTATCTAATTGTCCAACTGTCATGATTATTCCATTAAAAAACAAATATTTTGCTTGAATAAATCTTAAATGCTGATCTGACCCAGCCCGCAAAACTTTAACAGAAATGTTTTTAGTTGTGTATAAGGATGAAAAGTGTTAAGGGCAGTCAGATTATCTCAGCACCGCAGTTGTATTTTCCTAATTCCTTATAAATTGTATTTTGCATCTGTCCTTCAGATGATGTTTTCCATCAAGGTCAAAGAAAATATTTTATTTATGATATGTTGTAAATATTTTATGTTTTTTCACTTTTATATTTAGAATTTGTTTTGTAATTCTGTATGGAAATTACAAGTTTGTTTCCACTATACTCTTTCTGCCAATCCTCTGCTATGTTTCTAACAGTGCAGAAATCTTTGACAACGTAAATTGTAATATTCATGCAATAATTCTCATTAAGCAAAATAAATCAATTCCCTGTCTGAATTTCATAATGTTGCACTGTCTGGTCGATTAAAGCTCTCATAGGCAATGTTGGAGAAAGAAGTCCCAAAAGAAATCCCAATATAAATAATATATTTACTGTTTGATTACATTGTTCTGTCTCACCTCTGACAGCTAGCCAGCTCTCTGGAGATTCTCCTTTTAATCCAGATATTGCACAATTGTAAAAACCTTCACTGGACTTGGAAACATTGTAAATGGTCATCTCGCTTGTATATCCAGTCCCAC